TCTACTGGACATGATAGCTGCCTGCCTCTAACTACGTGACTGAGAGGCATCAGGCCTCTAAATACCAACCACTGGAGAACAGCAGCAGAAGACAAATGGCCTATTCCTGACCTTCCAAAAAGCCATTTGGTTGGCCGCTGGGAAAGAAGATGCTGGATTAAATATACTTTTGGTCTGATCCAGCAGGGCTGGGCTAAAACATCTCTATGCTACTTTTCCTGGTAAGGTGGTTTGCAACCACTTGTAGCAGCAGAAGACAAATGGCCTATTCCTGACCTTCCAAAAAGCCATTTGGTTGGCCGCTGGGAAAGAAGATGCTGGATTAAATATACTTTTGGTCTGAGCCAGCAGGGCTGGGCTAAAACATCTCTATGCTACTTTTCCTGGTAAGGTGGTTTGCAACCACTTGTTCCCCACCTCTGCTATTGCTTTGTTTCATTCTTGTGATCCAAGCCATTCAGGGAACACACAGTAGATATGAAAATACCACGCAGCCAATTATTTTTGACTAGGTGCTGATGGTTATAAAGGCAAATGGGTCTTATTTCAAGAAAGTACAAGGCTTCCCATGTTGGTCAAATGGGCATTACTGATCAGTGTTGAATCTGCACCCAGGACAGGGAAAAGAGCTTTCTTTGACTCTGACCAATGGGCCCCCTTTCAAATGCACCAATATAAAATATCTCACTTTCAGGTCAATATTTGCACTCCCTGATGAAAAGGAACACTTCCTTGGAAATGGGTTAAGATCGCAAAAACTCCTCTTGTCAAATGCAACACAATAATGACGTTAAAAACAGCCATGTGCTTACCTTGGATTTAAAAGACATGATAAAACAAGGCAGCAGGAGAATCATGCATTTGGAGCTCATGAAGAGAAACTTCAAAACAAAGTCTGTGATTCCCACAATCCACAGGACCTCCCAGAAGTTCAAAAAATTCACCGTAGGACTTAAAAGGACCAGGCTTTGAAGAAAAACAATAAAAACAGCAGAGGGTTAAAAGTAATTTTGATATAGTAATGGCATGGCTCGTTAGCAGACCGAACAGGAAAAATAATGGAGGGAGGAGGAAGCCAAATGGAGCTGACAGAGGAAAGGACAGAGACAAAATCATTTCATTTTTCCAGACGTATCATTTGCTGGTTCCAACTATTTTAAGACATAGCATGACATGCTCATTGTAGGTGAGAGTTGTCAGTTAGGGTTAGGGTTAGGTGATCTCGAGTTCTAGGACTGCCGAATAAAATTTACTGTTTGCTTCCTCCTTTATACACCGTTGACCGTGTTCTTTGACAACGGGGTTTGGTGTTGTGGTTTGAAAATTAATGCTCCTCGAACAAAGGAATGTCATTTCACTGATATGGGGGATTAGTCTGTGTTGAATTACCTGTAATGAAGGGACTGAGAGTAGAAGGTGTAATACAGGAGAACAGACGATCCCGTCAGGAACAGCAGCAACCAGGTACACCGTAGCCTGGAGCACCTTTCCTGCAAGAGAAGAATTTTAGAAAGCGTCAGTCACTCGATAGCTTAACATGGTTAAACACAAGATGCAGAGCAAGTCATGTCTTGTAGTTTTCCAGGACAAACCATTTCAATAAACTTCTGAGCTGCACTGTGATCAGAGCTTCTGAATTAACTGTTTACGTGCCATCATATTGGTAGCGACCACATAAATAAGATTTTCTCCAGGACGATCTGGCCCCAACCTGGTCCTTCAGATTTTCTGAGGTGCCCCATCCCTGCTATATCTGAGTCCCTCCAGCTAGCTGCTGGTCACTGTTCTCTTTCCTTCCACCTTTCCCAGCATTACAGCCTTTTCCAGAGAGCTAGATCTTCGCATAATGTGTCCAAAGTAGGATTATTTGAGCCTGGTCATTTGTGGAAGAGAACTTCATCTAAATCCTATTAACAAAGAGATTTTCTTTTAACAAACACCCACATTAAAGGGCAGGGGTGGACACAGACATTACTGCTGCTAAGGGAGATGCCATCAGTTACTAACTCTGACGTGCTACATATTGTAATGGGCAGTAGGAATAATCTGGAGGAATAGGAGGAACAGCTGCAATCAAGAAAATAGTCAGATAAAAGAAATCTGAGTCTGAGGCAGAAAGGTAATTTGAGAAAGCGTCTCAGACATCGCCCTCCCTAGTTTTCACAAAGATTCAAGGAGGGAGGGGGGGAGCGTATTCAGATGAACAAGATTCAGTTACTGTAACTTTATAATAAAAGTAATACAGTATTAGCATTCATAACTTTGGTTTCCTAGTCTGGTCTACCTTGAAGGGCTGACACACACTTAGTTGGAAAAAGACACTGAATGTTGGTTAATGTGTTCCCAATAGACCTGACACAGTACACTGTTTTGTGTGTGGTTTGTTTAAGCCAAATCTATTAAGTGGACTTAGGTAAACTGATTACATTGGCGATCACAGAACTGAAAGATTACGAATTGTTCTAAAGGGTTCACAAGCTTTCTCTAACCATGATAACTAGTCTCACAGGAAATGAAGGAACATAATAGATAATAAATATCATGTAGAGTATGGTTCTATGAAACATCTGCACAGGCAAGAGAATTGTAACTTGACTGTTACATTTCTTGTTAGGATTTCAGTGTTCAAAAATGTACATCACAACTATGACTACTGCAATGCATTCTGTGTGGGACTGCCCTTGAAGACTATCCAGAAACTGCAATTAGCACAGAATGAGGCCGCCCATTGCTAATGGGGACAATCAGGTATAGCCACAGAAAATCAGGATCGTGGGACCTGCGCTGGCTGCCAACTAGTTTCTAGGTACAGTTCAAAGCACTGGTGATAAGCTATAAAGTCCTACATGGCTTCAAGGGGCCTGGTTATCTGAGAGGCCACTTACTCCAAATAGGACCTGCCTGGCCAAGGTGTGCCAGCTCATGTGAGACCCAGCAGAACAGGAGGCAAGCATTTTCTGCAGCAGTTCTCTTCTTGTGGAACTCCTTACCACTGGGCAAGGTGCTTAAAATGTGGCTTTTTCAAAGAGGATGGGGGAACAAGGATGAGATGTACCTGGGCTCTATCATGGTGCTTTCTGTATGAAGGCAATGTACTAGTTGTTATGACAGAGAGAGACCGACTGGTGTGGTGGTGAAGGTGCTGGCCTAGAAACCAGGAAGCCATCAGTTCTAGGCCTACCTTAGGCATGGAAGTTGGCTGGGTGACTTTGGGCCAGTCCCTCTCTCTCAGCCTTACCTACCTCATAAGGTGGTTGTTGTGGGAAAAAGAGAGGAGGGAGAAGTATTAGGGAGGTTCACTACCTTGAGTTGACTTTATCTATCTATCTGTCTGTCTGTCTGTCTGTCTGTCTATCTATCTATCTATCTATCTATCTATCTATCTATCTATCTATCTATCTATCTACCTACCTACCTACCTACCTACCTACCTACCTACCTAAAAATATAATGCATAATATTTAAAAATGCTATAGGCTATGATATTATGATACTTTTGATTATCCTTCTGATATTATTGTATTTATTGAACTGATTTTCTGCCGTATGCCACTTAAGACTCAGAACGATTGAAGCAGCATAAACAGGAACCCTGGGTTCAAGTGAAATTTAAGTGGTGTTCTCACTGATCAGCGTTCCTTAAAATAAGTAACATATTCAGATATATTTAAATCTCCTGCTCAATTTTGGTAAATAAAGGAATACCACTTTTAAGAACATGCCCTATCTATCACATTTATATACCATCTTTTGTTACTGTGTCTGCCCTATAAAAAGCTAGGCCATTCAACCCTGCTGGTTATCAGAAAGCGCTGAAGACTGTGATTGGGGGTCAGGTAGTCGGAGCTGTTGGCATGATGAGGGTTGAATTTATTATAAAGTGAGTTTTTATCTTGGCTGCGTAGGGATTTTTTTTTAACGTTGTTCTATTATATATTTGAATTACGCTTTTTAATTGGTTGTTAGATGTCTAGAGTTACAATAGTAAAATCTTTCCAGCTGTCACCAGTGGTACAACATGTGGCCCAATCACTGCAGGGCCACTAAAACGGAATGAGCAAAAATAAAATTGTCCAATATATAAAACAGCGGAAGAGCGAGAAGACGAGAAAGCACAGGGAGGCCTGTCTGCAACTCTTCACGGGCATCTTGTCTGTGCGCGAGATGCCAGCAATGAGGTGTTTTCAAGGCCTCAACGTAGCTTTACTTTAACTGACTTGTAAATTTGTAAGATGGTTTTATTTCTGTTTGCTGCCCAGGGTTCCCATGGTAGATGGGCAGCCGTATAAAGGTAATAAACAAACAAACATGGGGGTATTTCCATCATGATAACTCAGTTTGCAACAGAGCATATTGGATCAAAGACATGGAATAGTGTAGTTCAGAGGTGTCTGCAGCATATGGTCAAAAAAGTCAAGATGGCAGCCACCACAGTGCAATGGAACTTCTGCTTGTTGTTCAACCCCCATGAAAAACAAAGGTTTGGACGCACCTTCACGGCCGTCTTGACTTTTTCAACCATGCTCTGCAGACGTGGCCAACTACATTCTATTCCCCTGTTCTTATATTAAATGTTTGAAAGAAATATTTGGATAGATATTTGTAACTAAACTATAACTAAATATCTCTGGATAGAACCATAAAGGCAGAAGTCTTCCCAGTGGTCTGGTGATACAAGGTGTCTCCCCCCCAGATAGGAAATCTTCTTATTCTGGGCCAGACTGCAGAGCCCTTTTGCTTGGGTTACAACAGTGTTTCTCGACCTTGGCGGCCTTC